GATAGTGATCAATATAAGTATATATGAATCATTAGTCTTGATCATTAGAAGAAGAATACAATGTAGTTAGAGGATAATTCACGTAAATATCAAATCATCATAATAAAAGAGAAAAAGTCTTGAAAACTATAACACCTTACAAAATTATCAAGTTAGGATTTGGAAGTTAGGAAATCCCAAGTTCTTAGGAATGATGCGAATGTTTCAATATTAATACAATTATTAAATATCATATATGGTATATTCCAAGTAACCACATATTAAGTTCTCAAAAGTTGAAAAACAATAATTTAACTTAGACACATGAAATTGGAGAACATTAATAAACTTTGAGGACCACTGTAGCCCTAGATAGCATCCTTTTTTTCTAGAGTAGACGTCCAAAAAAAAACTTTGAATTTATAAGATACACTCTTAGCAACTGTACCTTACTTATGGGAGTTAGAAAAGAATTGACTACAAACTAAAGAGATCTCACTAGTAAAAATATTATACAAAACTATTAGGTTAAAGAGGAAACTTAGAAACGAGTAAGGATGTCTTCAAACCATCTGGTCACTGCAAATTTAGAAGACCAGATTTATTTTAAAGGGGAGAGATTATAACACTCCGGCCTGGCAAAAATAAAATCCAACCCATTTGCTTCTTAGAAGCCGGAAAAGCCAAAACAACATAGTTTTAGGAAACCCCCAAAACAACGCTCTTTTGATATAAAGAACATAAAAAGAGAAGGGGTCAAAACGACGTCGTTTTGAGAGCATTAAAACGACATCATTTTGAGAGCATCAAAATGATGCCATTTTGATGACAAAAAAAGAAAAAAAAAGGGAGTTACAGAGGCGAACACGCTTATACAAAAAGAAGAACATGAGGTGTGCCTTTAAAACTCGCCGGAGAAGGAGAAGGCGAGGCATGGAGGAGTCTTCTTATTCTTGCTTACAAAAGAGAAAAAAAGAAGAAAGAGAAATCGGTTCAATGAGAGAAAGAGAGAGAGAGTCGTGAAGAGAGAAGAGGATGTGGCAGATCTAAGGCATGCGACGAGCAACATGCAACGACCGGTTCTGCGTGTCCAATGGCTGTGTGAATCCAGAGAATGAAGAGTCATGGTGCACGACTAAAAAAGATAGGGATCCGCAGTGGATTTGCCTGAAAAAGTATAACTCACAATGACGGCGGCTAGACGGAAGTGACATAAGTGACAAGTGATAAGTGATGTATCCACATGGTAAAAAGGATCCTTAGCGCCGTCGTTAATGCCGGTAAATGGCATCACGCGATGAAACTTTTAAAAGAAAAAAATTGTAGTTGTGATCCTTAATGAAAATATAACTAAAAATGAAAGAGTAATTGAAAAGTGCTAAGTAAACAATACAAAGTGAAAGTGACGTTGGCATGTGTAATGATAAGTGATTTGATGACAAATCTAAGTGCAAGTGTTACAAAATCAGTGAACGATATTACTGTGAAATTTTTTATTTATGTGAAGGTGATGTTAGAATATTCGTGATGTTTGGGAACATGTGTGAATGAGAAAATTATTGAGATTCGTGATATTGTTATTATCATATTGCTTGAGAATTAGTTTTTTAAAAAAATATGCATTTGTTTATAAATCTTGTGTGATTGAGTAAGTGCATGTCTTTACTTTGGGCACTGGCCATTTTCCTTACTGAGTTTATGAGGCTCACTCCAATTCACACCTTCCGGTGCATATTAGTCTAAATCAAGAGCAAGTTTAAGGTCGATAAAAGATTTTGAAGAACCTTTAGTGACAGTGAGAGTTTTTTCTTGTAAAATTAGCTTAATTATATTATAGCGATTTAATATAAAGAATTTTGTAAAGCTCATGACTTGAAATTCCATATAGGGGATGATTGCATCTTAAGTTTTTGTTTGTTACTGCGTAAATTTATCAGTTATGTGTGTAAAATAGTACTACTTTTTTTTGGTACAAAGAGAGGCAAAAACAAAAAAAAAAATCAAGAAATCGTCATGCACATCCAGGGCTAAGAGACACTCATGATATCGTCTGTGAGGAGCTGTTGGAGATTATTCGGCACTTGAACATGAGAATGGAGGCTCATCGGTAGAGAGAAGTCATCATTCGCCAACCACTCAGCACATTTATTTCCTTCGCAATAGACATGTTAGATCCGATTATGTCAATCCTGTAGTAGCAAGTGTTTGATCGCACGAACGAAGACGTCATGAACATTAGTACTGTAATCCTCCTTAGTGAGTAACTGCACCGCTAAAACGCTATCCATTTTCAGAATGATACTACGCAACCCAACATTCCAAGCGAGTTGAAGACCATCGAAGGTACCCCAAAGCTCGGCTTGAAGAACAGAGCATCTGCCAATTTTCTATTAAAGCTTCTCAGGCAAACACTATCCTCATCTCTAATAAGTCTGCCACAACAGGCGAGATTAGTTGCAGCATGATAAGCACCATCAGTGTTCACCTTCAATCAACTCCTGAATGGTTTTTGCCAAGTTACAAGTTCTTCCAACCTATATGCTATACATGAAAGAAAACATATATTCATATTATTAGTCATAAAAGTATAATCAGTTATAAAGGACACATCCTTAGCAAGTTTATCAATACTGCTCTCACTCTCTTGGAAAACAAATTTATTTCTATGTTTCCACAAGCTCCAACAAGTAAAATCAAAGGTCACTCTCCAATCCTGAAATGTCTTACACCAGGTTCAATTATTTTTGAGGTTTAGCACGAACCACTCATCTATAGTACCACTGAAGAAAGTTGATTGGGCTTCAGCAGGTATGATCTTCAACCACATTAACTTGGCCACGCTACAATTACAGAGAACTTGATCTACATCCTCAATAGGGTCGTCATACCTATTGCATTTCATAGTAGAGGACATGTGACGTCAGTATCTCTATCAATTCATCAAATGCTTCCCTTAACAGCCGATCAGAGGAACGTATGCACCCGTTGAAAAATAGCTCTTTTTTCTTAACAAAAAAAATGGGTGATTACATTTAAAGATTATTTTCTATTAAAAAGCTTCATCTTTTCATATTCTTAGACTTTAACATAAAATAATTATTCTTGTTTCGTTATTTATATATTTTTTCATAAAATTATATAAATTAATTAAGATAGAAATAATAATTTAAATAAACTAATTTTAGAATATCATTTTTAATATTTTAAAAGATTATTTTTGTTTTATTTGTTTTATAACCAAACAATTCTTGTATATTTTTGTAGATAAATATATATCAATTTAGGACATCAAAATTATTAGTTTCTGTACTGATCACCATGGAAAGAATCATTGAATATTCAAAGCAAAACATCAACTACTTTTGTTCATAGAAGCTACAAATCATTCTCTTATTTTTTATGTACAATGAAGAAGAAGAATTACACTTAACCACCCTGTTCTATAAACACTATTTTGGCAATCTCTTCCCAAGTTTTAAGATCAAAATTTAAATTTTCATTATCAATCCCACCAGAACTTATTCTTCACCTTGCGAACTGCCAAACTTGATCTGGCGATTAAGCATCCATGCGGATTATACAACGAAGGCTCTCGCCTTTAAGCATATACTCAAAGGCCTTATTGATTTCAGAGAAAGGAACTTCATGCGTTATGAATTTCTCAACCTCAAGCTCCTATCAACATTACATACTTGTAAGTGTTTCAGATTATAAACTTCTAATGACAAACATAAAATAAAAAGATTCATGTTAGCAGATAGTAAAGAATTGAGCAAACCTGGGTCATGTATTTCTCTACCACCGAAGGAAGATCAGTACGCGGTTTGTAATTTCCAAAAAAAGTTCCTTTAAGAGTCCTTTCGTTCAAGAGATTCATTGGATGGGTCCTGAAAGCATCATCTCTGTTTGGCACACCAACAAGAACAGCAACACCCCATCCCTGAAATCAAACAGAAAACCAGTTTAAATTTTTGTAAAATGAAGAATAAAAATCTTTCATGTTCATCTTTATTAGTACAAGATGATTACATCATGAACACATTCAAATGCAGAAATCATGGCATTGATATTCCCAGTGCATTCCACACTTCGATCAACTCCCCCTCCGGTCATTTCAGCGAGCACCTGAGAAGACAAATGAGCAGATTTTTAAACAACAAAGTCCACAGACTTACAATCACTTCCCTTCAGATTTATTTGTCAGAATTTTACAAACCTCCTGAACAGGCTTGTTATAGTCTTTTGGATTCACAAACTCAGTGACACCAAATTTCTTGGCTGTAATTACAATAATATAGAAAATAAAAAATTAGAAATTGAACAACTAAAAGCAAACTATATAAAGAAAGAAAGATGAATTATCTTACATTCTGATTCAACATACTGAAAACTTAAAGCCTGAAACTTTCACTCACCTTCTTCAAATCTCTTGGAGTTCAAATCAACCCCGATTATCCTCGAAGCTCCTGCAATTCTAGCCCCTTCAGCAGCCTAATTTACAAAAACATGAATCAATCTTAGAATATCAGAACCAGCAGACAGTAACATTTAGTAATAACAAAACTGTTCTTAGTAAATATAAACAAGTTACTCACAGCAAGGCCTACAGCTCCCAATCCGAAAATGGCAATAGATGACCCTTTTTGGGGCTTTGCAACATTCAAGGTGGCACCAAGACCTGCAATTGAAGCAACTTAGGTTTATATATACAACAGAAAAAGAAAACTAGATCCTTTAAAATAAGGAAACTGAAAGATGTTTCATGAACCTGTTGAGATTCCACAACTGAGAACACAAACTTTATCAAGTGGAGCAGCAGGATTGATTTTGGCAACACAACCAACATGAACCACAGTGTACTCGCTGAAGGTTGAGGTGCCAACAAAATGGTAAATGGGTTTTCCATTGATGGAGAATCTTGACTTGCCATCATTGAGCATTACCCCTCTGTCAGTGTTGATTCTCAGAAGATCACACATGTTACTCTCATCCGATTTACAGTGACGACACTGTTTGCACTCCCCGGTGAACACAGGAAGGACATGATCCCCAGGCTCAAGGTCTGTTACACCCTCACCCACACTCTCAACAATTCTAAAAACACAAAATTAGTACAAAGCATTAATTAGATTTACACGATCTTGAGGCCTAAGTATCAAAATGAGATAACTGCAGTGTTCTTACCCTCCGGCTTCATGACCAAATATGCGAGGAAATAATGGAGCTTGTCCCTGCAATCCGTAATTAAACCATTATTAATGCTTCAAAAGGGAAGAGAGTTTTATTTTCACATATTTTATTAATTATATGACATATATACATAAATTATAAAACTTCTGATGAAAATACATAACAAAATAAAGCTCGACCTGATTCATACTTATTTTATAAATTCAAAAAACAATCACTTATAAAGAGAGTGAAATATGAACCATTCAATTCAATTAAAGAATAACTCGTAAAAGTTAAAATATAGATTGAATTGTTACAAATATGTGAAAAGACAGTTTGGTTACCTTTGCCTCCCAGAAGTAAACATCAGTGTGGCACAAAGAGGTGAAAAGGATCTTCAAACGAACCTCCATTGCCTGGGGTGGTGCCACCTCCACCTCTTCTATTATCAGCGGCTTACCGGCTTCCCATGCCACGGCAGCTACAAGGCACCATTTCCCAAAAAATAAATTTCCAAAAAGTTTTACAAAACATTTTGATCTATCATTTTTTTTTTCATTCTAAAGCCACTGAATGTAATACTTATAATAAATAAGTCTCCGATTTAGATAGACTTATAACTTAGCATGGCAGTGATTATCAATCTAACGGAGACAGAGTTACTGATAAAAAAGGGAAATTGTACCATATGAAAATAAATTCCCTTTCTCCTTTGATTGAGTCTATAGGAGCAACAAGAAAATCACATGACCAAAGGAAAGGCAATTTCCAGAATGATCGCATTGGAAATCAGGATTAGTAATAATGTCAGATTAGTAAAACACATAATAAAACAAATACTTTGTATACGATCGATTCAAAACTGCAACAAGAAGAGCGGAGAAGACGAAAGCAAATGAAGCAAAATGAAATAGCAGACCAAACGAGAATAGATAAATAAACAACAAATTAACTATATACCTTTGCAACGTATAACCTGACCTGCAGTGCTTGACATTTTTCTTGCTACGCTTTCTTTCTCTGCTCTCTTGACTTTTGAGTCGATATCGGTTGTGAAGAGATGAGTGTGATGGTGAGGATATTTATACTACGTGACCGACTGGTTTCCATGGCTAAAACCGCTGGTTGTTTCTGTAGGAGTATCTGCAACCAGCGGCGCCTTTGTAAAGTTTTTGCTGCTTCTCCTTGCTGTTTCCTGTAATCCTGTTGCCGGTTTGATGCGCAGCTGGTTCGAATGTTTTGTTTTATGGTTTTATGCCATCTGTAAAGTTGACTTTTTCCTTTTTGCATCTTTTATTCCTTGATTTTGTTTTGACTCCAGATTTATTTATACTCGGAGACGACAGTTGTTGGATTTTGCCAGGTGATAAATAGGCGGTAGCAGCACGCAGTATAAAAATCTTCTGATAAAGGTGCAGAGCTCGCGATTTAAAGTTACATTTTCATTAATATAAACAAAAATAATTAATAAAATTATTACAAAACAATATTAAATATGTAGTATTCATTTTTATTGAAGCTGAATTTTAATTATTTTAGGAGTAACTTTTCTTATATTGCAGTAAAAATAAGTATAGATTTATAAATAATTTTTTTAAAAAATAATAATTTAAATTTACTTTGTTTTAGTAATATTCTTGTTAGCATATTTATTTTATTTTTTAAAAAAACTAAATCAATCTGCAATAACATTTCATATATATAGAATTAGTTGATTCTATTAAAAATGTCAAGCCATTTTATTTTTCAATAAATAAATGTTTTATGAGAAAAGCATAAATTTGTTAAAAGTGTAGGAATTTCGTAAAATTGATATGAATTTAAATCTAAAATAATTATCATACTCATATCAAATTAAAAATATTTAAATTAAAAATAAAGAAAAAAACTGCACGTCATGCGGTACATATTCTAAAGTAGTACATAATTTTTTAAAATTCTCTTATTTTTTCTATTTCTGGTTATTGGATGTTTCAATAAAAAATTTTACATGTAATTTTGAGACCGTAATCGTATATTTATGGGCAAAGCTATTCATCAATTTTTTTTTTTTTAATTTGACTACTCACAAAATTAAAAATTATACATATAGTCTTTACACACAAAAAAAACTCACACTTTAATTTAATATATTAAAACTTAATATATTATTAACAGTATCCGATTAATTTTAATCGGGTCTAATTAATTTAATAGTATTTTATATACAATAATTCATACACAAAATGTAACGCCCAAACAATTGGGCATTTTTGGGATTTTATTATTAATTTTATTTATTAAGTTTAATTTTTTAAAAAAAAAAGAGTCACGTCAGCGGCCCAGTCAGCAGCCCTGGCCAACCAGGACCTGCCGCGTGGCAAGACCACGTCGACTCGGGGACGGGCCACGTTGGCGATCCTCGTGCGCGCGATCGGACTGCCCAGATGCATCCCCGCGCGCACGGACGACCCAGATCAAGCGTGCGCACGGACGGCCCAGATGCAATCGCACGGACGGCCCTGACGCACGCGCACGGACGGCCCAGATTAAATCAAAATGGACGGCTGAGATCAAAAGGCAAAAGGGTATAAATAGAACCCCCACACTTGACCACAAAAACCCTAGCCACCTGCCCTCGCCGGAGAAGACGAACCAGACGCCAGAGGAGCCGGCTGCCGCCACCCGCCGTCGCACCGGGGAGATTTCCGACCGCCGATCGAGGTAAATTTCATACCCCCGACTCGTTTTTCCACGTTGAATTCTCCTGTGGCCAAATCGGAGCCAAAATCCTAGCCAAACAGCCGGAAAACACGGCCGAAACCCAGCGGCGCCGCCGCGCCCCTCCTCGGTTTTTGCCTCCGATGAGGCCCTTCCCGGCCTCCATTTGATGCAATTTTTATATCACCGTGATCACCATTCTTTTCTCTACAGGTTTATCGGAGCCGAATCACCAAAACACGAACTTCGCCGGAGAGCCGCCGCACCCGAGAGCACCGCCGCCGGTAAGCTTCGGTTTTTCGTAATTTTTTGGCCCCTCGAGGGCCCTAGGGTTGTTTTATCACAGGGACCAATGTAAGTGTGGCCGAATTCGGCCGAAAACGGCCAACCCGAGGCGAATCGCCGCCGAACACGGCGGAGCCGCCGTGCCGGAATTGCGATATTGGTCGAAAGGGGCCCTGGGTCTAATTTGGGATTTTTTAGAACACGTGCAGGTACCAGTAGTGCGTTTCAGTTCCCCGGAAAAAATTCAGAAAAAATTAAGGACAGCCTGTAAGCGCACTGTGAAGCCGTATTCAGACCCCGAAACGAGTAAGGACCCCTCACCCTATTTCCTATCACGGTATTAAAGTTCAATAATGATAAAACGGTATTTCTTGAACCAACGAATGTGTGAAATTGCTTAAGGTCGCTAATGGAGCCCGAGTCTAGTGTGTTTGTCGGTTAACTGTTATTTGGCCTATTTTACAGTTTTAAATGCAGTATGAGGTCTGATGTTTTCATTTCATAATTTCGTGTGCATATTTTACGGTTTTATTGATTATGGGTTGAATGACTGAGAAACCGATGCTGTATGTTGTCTTGTTTTGCATAAATTAATGTTTTGCTTGTTTGTGTGTGAATTGATGATGCTGACTGAAGAAAAGGGGAATGAAAGGTTATGTAAATTGATAATTGTATAATGTGATCAGCCTGACTAGATATCTTGGGAGATGGTGGACGGACCGGGTCCGTAGGGAACCCTACCGTAATTGTGGTCTCTCATACTGGACGGGGTATGGAGACCCTATGTGTTTTGGCGCCCATACCGGACGGGGTATGGGGACGGCCCGTTTCACCCTCATACCGGACGGGGTATTGAGGTTTATAGTTTTGGCGCCCATACCGGACGGGGTATGGGGACGGCCCTGGAATCAGGTTGTAAATGTTAAAGGATCACGGGTAGCGGGACCCCTATGGATCCCCACGGATACTAGTAGGCTGGTAAAAGAGGAAAAATATGTTGTGTAATGATTGAATTACAAAAGTCGTGATAAGTATTATGTTATACAGTTTATATGATTTCATGATGATGATAATGTTATTGCTTTCGTATATTATTTTATGAATTTCACTGAGGTAAGTGGATGGTATAGGTTTTATTATTGATAAAAGGATTTGTGGTAAATTATGCTCCATTGGTCTTTTTGTGTTTTCTACCCACCTTTACCTCCGTGACGGTGAGATATCGTGATGTCTTTACTGGGCTAGTGTAGATCATTCCTTATTTAATCATTTCAGATCAGGAAGACATTGTTCCCGAGCCCGTTCCGCAGGAAGACGACGAAATGGACGCCTAAAGACTCCATAGTCATATTCATAGCTTTTACTTTCGGGTTTCTCTTTTAGTTAGTTTGATATTTTATATTTTGAGCACGTTTTTAATTTTAGTGTAAGGGATGTTAATCGAAATTTTGACTTCGCTTCCGCATTTGACATTTTTAATACACATATTTCATTTTAAATTTCCGGGTCCGTTACACATAAATTTACATGATAAATTTAAACGCAACAAAAAGTACTGATTAAAATTATTCAAACTAATTTTTATACCAGAAATTTTTATTTGGTTGTGTGTAAAAGTTTTGGACTGTATTCAAGTAGCTCTCTCTTAAATAAAAAATATGACTATTTTGTTAATAATTTATTAATTCAATTAGTAAAAATGTAAAAATTCCATCATTTAATTTTATTTTTTTTTAAAAAAAGAAACAAAAATTCCTTAGTCAGTCTTCTCTATTCATTCTTTCATACACTTTTAAATTGGGGAATACAAAATCTAGTTAAAAACCAAAAAGAAAAAAACAAAGATAAAGATGATAAACATTATCGATCAATCATGTTGGCGAAATATAATCTAGTTCTCTAGCACATCTTTTTAATAGAATACATTATATTTATCGAAAACTGTTATAATAATAAAATTTGAGAATTATTAATTTTTTTAAAAAAAATAAATAAATAAAACATAAAATTTAAATTTGAGTTACTATTTTATAAAATGAATATCATATCATATCATATGAATTATAAATGCCTGGTAAAAAAATTATGAGTACTAATTGACTATGTTGGGTTCAATCTAGTGTGGTGAGTAGCCAAATTATTATGTCATAACTCGCTTTTGAACTCATTCTTTTTGTTTTAATCTTCCAAAATCTCTTTTGCTTCTCTAGTTTCTATTATTAAAATTTTAAAATTTATATAAAAAGATAATATTTTACTTTTAGAGATAACAAAATACGATATATATATATTTTTTTTTGTCATTGTCATCTTTTAAGAATCAGTTCATATCTAATTGACTTCTCCTTACATGTGGTTGTATGGTTTGGTCCCCATTATTTTGACAGGAAAACATATGTACGTATGTATGTATGTATGTATGTATTATGAAATAGAAAAAGAAAAGAAATAAGCAAAACACATATCAAAATATCTTAATGATTCATGCAAGTAATTATAAATAGTTATTTTTGTTATTAATTTTGTTAAGTTTTTTTTTAGCATCCAAGTAAAAAACATCAAAAAAAAAAAGAGAGAGAAAATGAAGTATATGTTTTAGAGTGATTGAAAACTAAGAAGGCTATTTATTAGATGTAAGAACTAAACAGAAATGGAGCACATCAAGTTGCAATAATGTCAGAAAAGAGAGATGAAAATTTTTTAAAAATTTTTTTTTATAAAGTTATAAAGAAAAAGTATAATTATTGTATTTTAATAAATAGCATATATGAAACTCACGTGCATTTAACAATATGTAAAAGTCAATAAAATAAAAGATAATTGAATATAATTATGAATTTTAAATGTAATAAATAAATTAATATCTATATATATATTGAGCACATAAATATTTATTGAGATTAAAAAAATAGTTAATTTTTTTTTAAAAAAAATTATTTATGTACAAAAAATGAGTCTGTAAAATTATTCAAGATCATAAAATTATGTAATTGTGAAATTTAAAAGTAGTGAATTATTGCAGAATAAACTATGTGAATTTATTTTAAATTAAGTAAAAAAAATATGAAACTATAATCTATCTTTATAATGATTCACATCCAATCTCCTTTTAAGTAAATATCATATACCTCTTACATATTCTTAAAAATATTACATTATATTCTTAACCTCAAAATTACAATAAATAATGTTAAAAACTAATACACTTCATTATCTCATATCATTCTTAGATTTTTTTTTTTTTTTTTTTAACCTCTTGGTTACA